GGGGGGGGGGATCCCCCCCCAGCCCCGTCATAGCCCCGCCTTACGATAGTCAGGCTCTGCCCCAGGAGTCCCTGATTCAGCCGCTGCTGTTCAGTTTCAGCAGCAGCTGAATCAGGGAAGCCGGGTGCAGAGCAGCTCCAATTGTCCGGCAGCCAGAGCCCTTCCGGGTTCCTGATGGTGCCAGACTATCAGGAGTGCTGGACCATCAGATGCCGGACCATCAGAGTTTTACTGTATTGTCATTTGAAAATGAGCCAACTTTAAATCACCAGCCCTACAAGAACTCCCAAGGTGAACTATTTGAAGAAGTTACTGAACTTGTGCAGTAATGGTGATTTTATGCAATATGTGTACCTATCGGTGCTCCACCATTCCCCCTCCCCCTCTCTACTTTAGAGTTCTTGTCAGTGACTCTGGTGGAAAAGGGACTGAGGGAGGTTAGCTCCCATGTGCAGGGACAGTGCATGAGCGGGTCTAATGGACACTGATCTCAAAGTTTTCTGAAAAGCAATGCAGGAATGAGAGCTCGGGGGGGTTTCACCTTCCTCTGGAGCCTGGGCATGGGTTACTTACTGGTTTAAACTAGAGAAAATGGTGGATTCTCTGTCATCTCAAGTGTTTAAATCATGTTTTGAGGACTTCTGTAACTGTCAGAGGTTAGGGTTCTATTACAAGAGTGGGTGAGCAAGGTTCTGTGGTTTGCGATGTGCTAGAAGTTACACTGCTACATAATCATGATGGTCCCTTCTGACCTTAAAGTATATGAGATGACCCAGGGGGTGGCTTTTGTTCTACCAAAATGGGGCTACCTTGCTGTAGCAAAATTTAAGCCATGTGTTTGGTGTAACTTAAATGCATGGAGGATGATTCTGAGCATGGCCTTTTGAACTATATGCTATGCAAATGAGCATATATAACATGATAAAGGGCTATGTTAAAATGTAAATGTGTTTTTCATAAACTCATAGCTATGTGCAGAAGGGCCTTCTAAATATGGAGAAATTTCCCATATAGTAATACCTATGAGGATTTTTCATCAGGAGATCTCAGAGCACTTTCTGAAAGTAGTGAGTATGTCCATTTTACAGATGGGGGCACTGAGGCACAGGGAAATAGTGACTTACCCAACATCACTCAGCAGACCAGTGGCAGAACCACAAATTGAGGCCACATCTCAGTCTAGTGCTCTGGCTGCTTGTTTGCACTGCAGATCAATCCAAACTATATCTGGAATAGCTATACCCATGATCCTGTATAGATCTTGTGCTGTAAGAAGCTCAGTCATTTGAATATAATCTGAGTAATAGTAAAAAGTGGGTCTTGGGCTGCATTAGACAAGTTACAGATTTGTAATATGATACCTCCATAGTAGCAAATAGGATATCTTCATCCGTTGCCATCTTCAAGAACTTTTCTATATCATAAATCTGTAGAGTGGCAATGTGGGTGTCAGTCCATAATTTTGCAGAGTATTATGTGATTAGTGGGGACTCCACCTTCAATGCAATCTTGAGCACCATAATACAGTAAACTTCCAATAATCTGGCACTTTTAGGACCCAAGGGGTGCCAGATTATCAGATATGCCGGACTTTCAGAAGGGGGGGGCTATGAGGGGTCTGGGGTGGGGTGGATGCCCCCCCAGACTCCTCATAGCCCTCCCCTTCCGATAGTCCGGCTCTGCCCCAGGCGTCCCTGATTCAGCCGCCGCTGGTCAGTTTCAGCAGCCGGCGCAACGGGGCCCGCCG